GACTTGAATCATGAAGCAAGAATTTTCAGCATTTTGGCAAGTCTGCAGGAGGAGGGAGAAGTTTCTGATCAGGCTTATCTCCATCAAGAACAAGCCAAGCCATCCTCAAACCCCAACTGGTATGTACTTCCAAGTGACAGTGCATGAACCACACTCCTGTCAAACATTTTGTAAACTTGGTTATAGTTTTCATATTAGATTAGACTATAAAGCTGTATTTTCTTTGGTTTATAATTGTTTCTCTTACCTGGGTTATCTGCAAGGAATCGAATAGCAGCCCACCCACCGGATGGCACGCCGATTGTGTTCCTCTCTATTGGGTCAACAAGATTGAAGTTTTTAGGATCCTTGTTTGGGTCGAAATTCCCAAATCCTTGGCCAACGACAAAGAAGTTGAACCCATGAAGGTGAAGAGGATGGCTTTCTGCACCGAGAATGCTAGTGTCTTGCATCACCAGCTCCACACTGGTGTTATAAGGTAGAACCATCAAGTTTGTCCCGTTGCTTACCATGGTATTGTTAGGTGGAGTGCCTGTGTAGTTAAACGGGACAATGGGATTCCATGGGAATTTTGGGGAATACACTCCACGAGATTGCCCAGAATAGTGAGATTGAAGGAGAGCTTTTGTTGGCATGGTGAAGGAGATGTTACTGATCGAGGCAGCAAACATTGTGGTGTTAGTAGGACCCTGGCATGTCTGGTTTTTCTTATGATTGCATGGGTTTGTTCCCAGTCCTATGGTGAAGAAGAACTTCCTATCAACCTTTAGAGGCACATTTGCTGGGAATTTTTTGCTGTTCAGGCTGCGTAGCTTATTGCTGAACTTGGTAGCAAAATTTGTATCGTTTAGAGCAGGAAGTACTGGTTTGAAGAGTTGAAGATTCTTGATCTTTAAGTGAGTATCTTTGGTGTGTTTAGATGGTTCATATTCTAAGATTCCAGCAACTGTAGAGTTATCGAAAGTTCCTTGTCCTGTAACGTATGGTCTAGCAGTCATGAAGAACGAGGCACTCGGGTAACTAGGTTTAGTCTTTAACAGGAGGTTTGTGGTCTGGCCAGGAGCAATCAGGATGGTATCTGTTTCAAATGGCTTAACATAGATCGCATCAGCTTCAACTACTGTAACCGTGTGATTTGCAATGCTGAAAAAGAGCTCGTCATTAAGTGCAGCATTGATTAGCCTGAGAAGGTATGTTTTTCCTGGCTTCACTCTTAGTCTGAATGTATCTGTTTTTACATCATTGGTTACCAAGGTTATAGATCGTATATTATCAAACCATAAATAAATGTAGGAACCCACAATTACCTTTAGCCGAGCAGTTGTATAACGGACCAGGAAGCCCATTAATCGTGTAAGCGTCAGAGACATTAGGACCACCTCCTGTTTGGGTTGCTTGGCGAATAATTGCCTCAGGGTCTGCGTTGAACCACTCCCCTGAAATTTAAACATCGAAATTTAGTCACAATGTTTTAACACTCTCATCAGATTATTCTCAGTCTGTTTCTGTTCTCCATCGTCCTCACCGAAGATCATGGGAACTTCTTTGTGAGGTTTGGCAAAAGGATAAGGAACACCGCGTTTGGGAAGAATGATAAGCGGACCATAGACTGTTGATCGTAGCCATGAAATATGAGCATGGTAAAACAGAGTGCCTCTTTGGCCAACAATTGTATAGTTGTAGACATAGCTTTGTCCTGTCTGAATAGGACATTGGGTTATATAAGCTGGTCCATCAGCCCAACCAGTCCGTAATTGCCTAATCCCGTGCCTGAGTTTTTTCACGAATTAAAGCCAGTCGTTAGTAAACAAACATTACTCTTAGTAACGCTACAAGTGTATAAGATTATTTACCAGTGGATAGAGATATTGTTTGGCACATTGTTGATGACTTTGATCAGAAGCTGGTCACCTTCTCTAGCAATAAGCTTAGGACCTGGAAACTGCCCGTTTACAGAAACAAGGCTCTTTGTGTGGCAAAGACGTGTCACGTTGTGCATTTTGATCTGCAAAATAAGCAGAAACATTTAATCTGTCATTTGCATCCTTTTAATATACAATCTCAACATTTACACAGAATAAAGAAATCTTCACGTACTTCCAGCGTATAATGCCTTGTGATCCCAAATGCAGGTTGAAGAAAAAGAAGAGCACAAGAGAAAACAGTTAAGAGAAGCTGAAACGCCATTGAGGTGAGCTTGGACCCCGAGGCGTTGATTAGAGCAGGTACGGTTACTGAATACTCTGCCTCTGTTGTTTATTTGTTTTGTTTTGTTGTAGATTGTGGGTTTATTGTTTCAACCTTTAGTTTATATATAGGAAGTAGAGTTAGGTGTTTGCTTGAGCAGGAGATTTCAAAAAAAATTTGGTAAATGTTTGTGAAAAAAAAACAATTGGTAGAGAAGTTCTCCTTGTAATTGGAGACTTGATATTGACTAGTTGTTAAAACATATATGAACAGCTAATGAATGAGTGGTGTCAAAGATAAGTCAAAGTCTTTGACCCTCTTTAATCCCTCGAAAACTCTTGTTAATTTCCTTATCAAGATTATGGCGTAGATTCTAAATATGAAATGTAAACTAGCCAAATTTTTTTAGCTTTGGGTATATTAGACTTCAAATTTTGACATGAGAGTGAGAAAGTATATGTAACTTGTGGACCACATGTGGCAGTTAATATCGTTTGATTTGATCTCTATCTATGTTTTAAGTTTTGTCTTAGACCTAACAAAAACAACTCTTGGAAACTTTTAGAAGGGTAATTAGCGGTTATGTTTTACTATATGTACATTTCATCATTTCATAACCATTTTAAGTGATAAGTACTTCATCTGTTTTGTTTATTTATATAATTTTAATTGCAGGTGGGAACTTTTTAAGGAGATAAATCGATGTGGCGATAGTCAAAACATTCGTAAGCTGAAATTGCTTGGGGAATAAGCAAAGAGAGGGAGCTTGTAGCTATCAGGGAAGGTCACAATTAGGGTTAGATATCAAAATCCATGAAAGGGTATTGTCAATATCATCTATTAAAAAAAAAAACATTGGGGAATCCTCAAATTAAGGTTTGCAATTTTATTTCCCAAGCAAGTGACCTAACTCCCTTTTAAGTTCGTATCCTCAAAGGCATGCCACTTATACATGCTTCTCGATACTTATATACAAAACTTTTTTCTACATATTCATATATTTGTTGACCTTTTATATATATAGAAAATGTCCTTCAAAATCTTTTTTTTTTATATATATATTTTCAACATCAGAATCTTTTACTAACAAACTCGAAATTATAGCCATAGACTAGTATACAGTATTTGTTTTTATATATTATGTTTATATGTGTGTATATAACTGTTCTATTCCTCTGCCATATTTATAATTTGGAGGAAAAATTTAAAGTCAAGTCTATAATCAAAATATGATATAGACAAGATTGCTAAAGTAGGTATCAACTTATCGCTCAAAAAAAAAAAAAAACTTATCGCTTAAATATGCGTAGTCGGTAAATATATAGTTTTCTTTAATATATATATAGTTTTTTAAATATAGAAATGTAAAAGTTGAATAAAATCTCTCGGACATAATGATGAAACTCATCATTATTATGTAGTTCAAACCATTACAGTTATGTCTTTAACAATATTTTAGTTAGTAACTCACAATCAATAACAGTAAATATAGTTATAGATTATATATATATTTACTAGGCATGTTTTTGTCCCATGACACAGGGTTATTCCAAATTATTTGTCCGGGTAATTATCTCAGACCTTATTTGAAAACGAAATATGATGTTCTTAACGATTTCGACTATATATTTATAATTACATTAAATTGAAAACATGACCTTTTCGGTATTCAGACATCAGACAAACTTCAACGATTTTTAATTTAGACACTATCGAAGTACCTTAAAAACATATAAATATCCATCTTGAGTTGAAACCTAATTAATCTTAAATTTGTAGATAATGTGAATTTTACTACAGTTATCAAGTGATCATATTTAATTGAATTGAGGATCTATACTAACAAGATGAAATTATTGTTTGCAAAAACAAAAAACAAGATGAAATTATTGGACTTAATTGAGCTAGACTGACACTATCAATTAGTATCATCTGAAAGTGTATTTATACGCGTAGATATACACATTACTGGTATTTGAAGAGAGTTTGATTAGATTTAGGAAGTGTTTGTACATGTTTTTTCACATATAGATTGTAGTTGCACCAACCCTTGATTTCTAATTAAGGCTCCCACA